ACACATATGCAGTGGATCTATTCTTGATGATTTTAACGTGTTAACATCAGCAAAATGTGTTGTTGCGTATGTTGAATATTCTGAATATTTATCAATATACATTTTTGAAATGTAAATCTAATTTGAAAGTATTAAATAGACAGTATATGAAATGTGTACGTATTCAAACTACCAACAGATATAATATCTAAAAATATCTAAAATAAAATCTACTGATTACAAATTGATAACAGATTTATTACTAGCTATTGCAACAAATTCAGTATCATTTAAGTATTCAATTAACTTATATTTTACTTGCAGAATTTAATGATATAATTTAACAGCAAATGGAGGTTGATAGCAGAAACCGAACAGAGAGAGAAAGAGAGAGAGAGAGAGAGAGAGAGAGAGAGAGAATATTTTATTTCGTTAACATGAAATACGTCATTTAAACGCCAAAGTGTGTTTAGTTTCTGCAATCAATCTTCTATTAACAGCTTCTGTTATATTTCTGATATTTAATTAATAAAATACATAACAAATATTTTCAAAATTTGTTCTTAATATGGATTTGTTCTTAATATAGATATGGATTTTTAATATTTTTAAATATATTTTTATTCTTAGGTTGGAGTGTGACTCAGCTAAAATACAGGTCCATGTCGGCATAAACTCTTTAAATGATACAGGATATCGTCATAACGTAGGAAGTATTAATGTCCACCAAAATTACGACGAATTATTATGCTTTAATGACATCGCCTTGGTTCACCTTAGCGATCCTATCAAACAACGGAACGTACTAGTATATCCGATAAATCTTCCAAAACCTAATAAAAATTTCGAAGGCAAGCCGTGCCTGTTATCCGGATGGACAAATACAATAGTAATGTTTAATTTATGATACAAAAATTTTCCAATTATACATATTCAAGAAAGAACTCTTTCTTAAAGTAATTTTATTATTTTCTTTTTATATAAATATAATAACAAGAAATTAGAAGTAGTAAGTGTAAGAAGTTTTCTAACAACTTGTTAATAATATTTCTGTTGCTGTTATTCGTTGTTTGATGCTCGATGTAACAATTAATGCAATTATTCTTTCTAGAATGGAGACTTGCAACAAACTGAATTGGTAATTGATAAGCAAAAAGAATGCGCGACAAGACACTGGGAACTGACAGATAGTCATATCTGCACTATAGCTCAAAACAGAACGAATGAATACAAGGTAAGCCGTCGATTATTAATATGATACAACAAATCATTTACATATATTTTTGATATAACATCAACAGATTAATAAATGATTCTAACTTTTGCCATTCTATATCTTTTTGTTACGTATCTATCATATAAATATTGCGTAAAAACATCTCACAGAAATAAAAATAATTATAAATTTTTTTAAAAAGCGAAAAGACATTAAGAGTAACGACATAAACAGGAAATATCATATATTTATTAATAAAAAAAGTTATAGCGTAACAAAATAAAAAAAACTTCATGTTTCTTCCATTTTACTTCGCTATAACTTTATATATTTATACTTTATATATTTATAACGAAAGTAAAAATAATATTAAAAGAATCTAATTATATATCGATTGAATTTTTGCATTTTGACATGAATTGATATATTTACATTTTCAATATATATTTCTAAAAAAATATTAATATTATGAAATAGTATAATCGTGATCTAATTGCCAATTAAATTACTTATGTCTAAATAATTATAATAATATTTTGTAATAATAAGTAATTAATTACTATTGTGTATAATAGTTTTATATATTCATTTTATATATTTATTTTATATATTAATATTTTCATATTAATTTCATTTTCATTCAAGAATGATCTTGGTGCACCTTTGGTCGCTAATGGAGTTCAAATTGGAATTGCTTCCTTCACCTGTTCTGGAGAACCAGATGTTTACACAAGAGTGTCTAGTTTCCTGTCTTGGATCAAAGCAAATTTGAAGAATTAAGAGATATTTAATTTGTTTATTACTATTTGGCGTTACAAAATTTAAAATAACAGTAATAATATAGCTTAAAAAAATTATTTCTACGAAATGTATGCTCTTTTTTTCAATTAAATAAATTATCAAAAATAAATTATCAAAAAATGTAAATAACAAAACAATCATCATTGTTGTTTCTACTCCAAGATTCTCAATCATCGCAATTATCTGCAATGAATAATATCATTTATTAATATGATATTAAATATTATATAAAATTGCTATATCTGCATGATATTGTTATAAATTAGTTTGATGAATTTAGCGAAGAAAAATTTTTTGAAAGATATATTGTTAAAAATAAAAAAAATTTAGTAAAAAAAAGCTTAAAAATACATGATCATGTTGTAAATTTTAAAAATTAAGATAGACATGACACATAAAATTAAATATTTGTAAGTAATTTTGATAATAAGTTGTCTTATACAATAAGATTTCGAATTACATATTTCGCATTTACAATGTTAATACAATAATTTCTATTCTGGTAAATAAAGATATTATCTGTAAAGGGATGATAGAACTTTCGCAAACATCACACATATAGATGTGATTACCATGATAGTTAAAATGTTAAACTATATACAGTATCCAATATTTAAATTTAATATATATGCATATATAAAACTTTACTCATGATTTATTGTATTATCACTTATTCAAGATTTTATTAAATCAAGATTTTAAATTAATTTAAATTTATTTTTTATTTACAAAGTTTCTGTCTTTATTTGTGTCTATTATAAATTTGTTGGACTTTGGTCACCTAGACTTATGATTCTTCAAAGTTTTTATTGATTTCTGAACACATGATACACAATCTATTGATATCATAGACTTGAATATTATAAATATAAGTAATCGATAGAAATAAAATCTATCACAGATTATATACTTCAGCAGAGATAAACAGGAATAAGTCCTTATTCTTCTGTTTATTCTAAGAAAAATTATGACATGAAAATTGAGAATTTTATTAAGACTATCACTTTTAATAAGTTACTTAATGTAAACTGTAAATATAATATTTTATCGTGCAATGATACTGCATTGAGAAAAATTTAGAAAAATGTGACAAAAACATGATTTATATCTTTGTTGCAATTATATCAGGAATATATATATAATCCTATGAATGCATCTACTCACTTCAAATTCAGAAAACAAATTTACAATCAAAAATACGTACATTCGCTTGTTTTTATCGTTGTGATATATATACCACTAAAGATACAAAGGTATTATAAATATTTTATAATGAAGAAAATGAGAGAGAGAGAGAAGAAAAAAAAAGAAAAACAGTAGTTGTTGTTTTCTATTTTATTTACAAATGAAACTGAGTCTGAAGTGAGCTGAGTACCTTACATTCAGATTAATGACATCATTACTTGCTTTGGTAAAAAGTTATTGCATGTCAATACATTTTCATAACCTCACTTTGTAGTGAGACTCACTAATGCTAGTGTCACATTACGCATTGAAGATTGCGGATTGTGAATTAAGGATTAGAATTCGATAATCAGGTAGTAATAGTTAATTTTAATCCATTTCGTTCTAATTGGCTGAATTTTAATCTTCAATTTGCAATCTTCAATTTCCTAAGCCTTCAATGTACAGTGTGAAAGGGGCACGACGATGCGATCCATTTGACGCTACAAATGCTTTGAAGCTTTTGATTGATCAATCAGAAGAAAGAATTTTACTTAATTGATCAATCAAAAAATGCTTCGAAGCATTCCTAGAATCAAATAGATCGTATCCTAAAGCACATGGTCTACACTCAAAACATTTAATAAAAAGTAATATTAATTTATGGTAATATTAATATTGCTTTATTTATAAGCGATAAAGTTATAAATTTCAAAATTATTTATTAAATATATTATTATATTAAATTTATTATTTATATTAGATTATATTATTAAATATAATCTAGAAGAAAGTAAAAATTTAAAATATAAGATTAGGACAAGTGATAATATCAGAATTTTATGGACATTTAACGATAATTAAGGGTAACACATGAATTAAATCAAATAAAATTTATAAATAAATAATTAAAAGTTGTATTTATTAAATTTTCAAGGAGATTCAAGTGGTCTTCTTGTTTCTAAAAGTGTTCAAATTGATATCGTTTTTTTTGGTATAACTTGTGCTCGAACAGACCGATATATTCATTAGAGTGTTCAAGGATTAGATCCAAAAACATATTATCGAGTAATAAGATAAAATCAGAAAATACTGATTTGTGTTACTAAAATTTTTTATTTTAAAACTCATTTTATGTTAAGTGATAACATTTTCTTAATTCTAGTCTGTCTTAATATTCTGAAAAACTTTAGTTTAATAAAATTTATGGCCTAATATGAATTGTAATATATCAATTATGTATTGATGTAAATATTTAATATTTGTTCACATTGAGAGAATGTTTTGATAACAAGTCGAGACATGTGTATTAAATAATATCAACAGATTATTAAAATTAATATTTTAGCAACAAATCCAACTCATAACTCTTTTAATTGCTTATTATTTTAAATTATTTGAGTCTGTTATCTATATTCTCATTTTTTTTTATTTATTGTATAAAAATTCGTTCAATTTGATTAGGCGAATGTATAATTTTTACATTATAAGATATTAATTAACTAAGTTACTAAAAACGTGATACGCGATCTATTGATAACATTGTAGAATATTAGATATAGTAATCAATATAAAAATAAAATAACTATGATGAGGTTTTGTACAATATCAGATAAACACACGTGAATTCCCATTCTTCTAAGAAAAGTGAAGATGGTGAAAATTACAAATTTAATTAAAACTATTATCGTTATCAATCAACAAGCATAATGTAAACTACAAATAATATTTTATAGTACAATACTGAAAAAAATTCAGAAAAATGTCATAAGCACGTGATTTATATCTTTGATTCAAGATTTCAACTGCTTCAGTAATATATATAACCTGTGAATGTACCTCTTCATTTTAATCCCAGGTAACAAATCAACAAGATGCATGCGTTAATTTGTCTTATATTTACTGCCCTGGTATACGGCACTAAAGGTAAGAATTCATAAATTATAAATATTTTAATATAATCCAGAAAAAAGAAAAAGAGAGATTTAAACAAGATATATTGTCTAAAAGACATTTTTATAATGTCTTTTACATATTTTTTTAGATATATATGTTTTAAAAAATGTCTTTATGATGTCTTTTATAATATGGAGCAACAAAATGAGGATTTCTTTTAAAAAATTTAAAGTGATCTTTTCCTGAACTATACCATTTAAGATCAAACCAATTATGCATCAATCGAAATCAAACAATTTTTGTGAAATATTGTTCTGTAAAATGTTTTGTTTTTGAGATATACGTTTGTCACACTTTAACTGACTTACCCTATATGCGCAAAGTTCTTAATAATAACTTAAGTGTCCGTTAAATAATATTCATAGATTCTGTAAATATTGCTGTACTCTATATTTATATAATATAATTTATAATATAATATAATTTATAATGTATTTATAAAAATTATACAATTTTCTAGAAAAAAAATTACATGTATAAAATATTTTT